CACCGTCCTTCGGATGAGACGTAAAACCGAGGTGGTAATTAAAAATCCCAGGGTGTTTCTCGAAAAGAGTAGGGTGCATCCTGGCCAAATTTCCCCATCGGCCTTTATCAAACCTCCTAACAATCCCCCTCTATAAATTGGCTTCATTACTCTGCTCTCCTCACCACTGATCGCTGATGTGTGGTGTGCGTTCTGGCGCACTATGGCTGCCGTCGCATCATCCAGGTAGATGCTGCACATTGGTGGTGGTGGAAGGGAGTCCCCATTACCTGTAAAGCGCTTTGAGTGGAGTGTCCAGAAAAGTGCTATATAAGTGTAAGCAATTATTATTATTAAGTCCCTACAAAGACAAAAATAACAAACGTGCGTTATTTTAGTGTATTTTCACTTATTATCCTTCAATTTTGGCACACACTTTCAGTCAAGATGACCTCCACTGATTGCAACTGCCTAAACTTGCCTAATTTGACTTTACAAAAGGAAGGAACTTTACGGGGAAGAACGGTGGAGCAGTTGTCAGTGTTGCTTCTCATAGCATTGAGGCCCGGGTTCAATTCTGGACCTGAGGTGCTATGTGTGTGGAGTTTGTAAGTTTGCCCCATATTTCGGTGGGTTTCTTCTGGGTGCTCCAGTTTTCTTCCACAGTCCAAAAACAGACTGGTATGCCAACTGGTGTCTGTGGTCTGTGGTGTGAGTGTATGTGTGTCTACATGCCCTACGATGGACTGGCAGCCCATCCAGGCTGTACCATGTCTTGTGCCCTTTGCTTGCAGGAAATGGAAGATGCAGTTAGAAAATGGACGTACAGTATGCAGCTTTGGGAGCCATTTCTCCAGCTGGGCGTGCTGGAGCAGGGTAGGATAGGAGGCTCAAGGGTCCAACTGTATCATCTCCCTGGTGTTTCAACATCACTGTTCCATATACCCACCTCTCTGACTGCCGAATCTCCTCGGGAATCTGTGGAACCTCTGGTTTTGCTGAGGGGAATTCCAATTCCCCTTGTTCTCAGCTATTTAATTGCTAAGAGAATGTTCAAGGTAACTCTTTAAATAACTTAAAACCTGCAGCTTTTTGGCAGGTGATAATGGTAACAAGCATCAGTTAAGCAAATACTGTAAGTCTAATTAAGATGTTAATTAATAAACAACTCTACACAACTGAAAACATATGGATACTAAGGGCACCAGGACCAGGATGGGGAAACCCAATTTTTGCTTCTTTATGTTAGAATGTTTGTCAGTCTTACTAAAATTATCACAAGGTATTTTTATTAAAAATCTCCCAGGCACTGGGGTTGTTAATCTGGGTCCATGAAAGCCACAAATTTTCTTTTAGTCATCGTCTGGGAAGTGACTTCTCTCCTCAGGGCCACAGGATCTCCTGGTGTTCATTCACCTAATTAGTGGTCCTAATTGCGTCAATGTACTAATTAGTTGTAATTAGTTATAACACAAGTCACCTGTCACGTTATGTCTTTATTCAATGCCAATTAAGAACCCTGTAATATCTGTAGAATTCCAAAAACCATTCTTGAGTCAAAACCTTGATTTGAGGCTTAACTGGTCAAAAGCATCTTTCAATGAGACGTTAAACCAAGGTCCTGATAACTTTATCATCAATAATCTCAAGGCACTGAAATTCTGGACATTCATCCCAGTATACTGGCTAAATTCTACTCTGGTCCTGTACAGTCTGTCTTCCCTACAGTTCGCCCTTAATCCACCTGGTGCAGTATTTCCGATCCCCTCCCTTCCTCTGCTGCAAGTCATCCAGGAGGGGCTGCACTTCAGTTGTGGGTGAAGTGTGTTCCGCAAAATTGGGAAGATTTTGGATCCTTTGAGATGAAAAGCGCAAAATAAATGAAAATATTTGTCTATTATTGAAACCTGCTTTGTAATTACTGAGCTGAGGTTGTCCAGGAACAGTGACGACCAGTTTTGCATTAGTGTACACTAGGGGCCAGGGGTCTCCCGCCTGAAGAACTACAGAGATCTTGTTTGACTTGAACCCAAGTTAAATTTGGCCTCCAGCTATGAAGACCACATGAAAGTTGAAGGACCGTGGCTACACATGCTAAGACACACCGTACAAAGACAGCTCCTTATAAGTAATGTGAACTTGTTATTAAATAATAAAATAACTCCAGTTGTAAAGGTATGAGATTTTTTAGTATCAATTAAGCAACTTTAACTACAGGAAATTTAGTTTAAAATCCTTAATAATCTTGTTTCTAAAACATCTTCTTAAAAATCAATGAATATGTAATGGAGCTTAGCAACCTGAAAGACAAACCAAAGTATGATGTATCTTTGTTATGACAGAACTCTTAAGAGCAGCAAGCTAGTTTTTACATGCTGACGAGGTTCTAGATGAGTAAACAGAAGAGACATACTTTACCCTCAGATTCAGGTAGCACGTATCTGATATAAATTAGCATATTTGGAAAAAATCATCTGCTGATTATCTCTCTCCATTGGCTAATTGTATTGCCTATATTATGCTAAACTTAACTAGATCTATACATTTTCTTTTTAAAAGCTGGTTTTGGAAAGTGGCAGTTGTGGAACACGTTCACACATCGCAACAGATGTTTCTAAGGCACGTCCACACCACAGTAAACCACTGCAAAGGACAAGTAAAGTAAAAACCATGGACAAGTAAAAACCATGGTAAAAAGAACAGGACAATACTGTTGATAATTCTACGTGTTCAAATTTGATCAGGATATCTTTCTGGCAATAGCTAAGAAACCCTTGCTGCCAGTCTTGCTGTGGAGAAGCACACTGCTCAGAGAAGCTCTGATCCAGCTCCGAAGTCGGATCTCATATCCACTGTCCTTCATCAGGCAGGCAGTGATTTAGAGCCAGCCACTCTGGAAAGGACACTTGAGCCTCACTGCTGGTGTCTGGGGGTCTCGGTGTAATTGGCTGTTTTTATTGGAAGCCAGTGAGGGAAGCCAAGGTCACGTAGGGGTCGCATGTGTGCACTGAACGAAGAGGACCTTGATCTGCAGCACTCCTTGTGCACCATGAACTGTCTGAACATGAACATGATGCACATCACTCCTCGTGCACCATGAACTATCTGAACATGATGCACAAAGGGAAAGGGGGTTTCCTATTTTAATAATAATAATTGTTTACACTTAGCACTTTTCTGGACACTCCACTCAAAGCGCTTTACCCCGTGGAGGGGATCCCCATTAGGTAATGGGGATCCCCTCCACCACCGCACAATGTGCAGCCCCACCTGGATGATGTGATGGCAGCCATAGTGCGCCAGAACGCTCACCACGCACCAGCTCTCAGTGGGGAGAACAGAATTGATTAAGCCAATTCATAGATGGGGATTATTTTGCATTTTGGAAATAAATTATTTTAATTCGTGCTGCAACTTATTAAAAAAATCAGTTTAAATATGCCTTTACAACAACCAAAGCTTAACTCACAAGTGAGTAAACTACCAATCTGCTTCATTTTATTGAACGTTGCATTTTTAAATGTTTTCTACACCTTCGGGGCAGTAGGAGATAATTAAATGCACATGAAAAATTGCACATTTTGATTTGTCACTCTGTGCAAAACTGTGACACTAAGACAGAATAAGGTCTGACAAATTCTTAGCCATGAAGCAACACTATTTTATTTGCACAAAAGCAATTCTTTCCTAAATCCAAATAGTGAAACATCCCTGCACCAATTCCTTACAAGTCACTGTAAATCCACACAGTTCAAACAACATTTTTTTAAATCTTTCACTGAGCAGCTTGGCTGCTGCTACAGGCTGATAAACTCTGTACTGCTCAAATCCACACCTCTTTTTTCCCCCTAAAGTGCAGACTGAAGCCCTCAGCTATGCATTAACACCCAGCACACTGATTGCTACATGTCTTCAAAGCAGACTGTTCCTGGGATCACTGCTGCACTGCAGAAGATACCCTCCTACTCCGACACCCCCTTCTGCCCACTATCACAAAATTGTGTTCTTATCTCTTCAGCAGAGCCTTGAACCTGTCTCTCCAGGCCTCCCTCCCCCTAAGACAGCCTCACCCCCCCTCCCCCACCCAACTCACCTTCCTTATCTCTGCAAATAAAACCAACAGGAGCCAGAGCTACAAACATCCATGCACCAGGATCTGTAAAACTGACATGTCAATCAGGCAGGCTCTGAGCTAAAGATTGATATTCATTTGCTTAGGAGACACCCTTAGCCAGGGAGACTTCCAGTGCTAATTAAAGTTTCACATTCAATGCTACAAGACCCTAAAAGCACAACACACGCTAGCTGAGTTTCTGACCAGAGTAAGAGACAGCAAACGTAAATAGGACCACGACAAAGTGTAGGCTCAGTGACCACAGCTTGGACACAGAAACTGGACAGAGAGACACATGGCTGTCCAGAGAAGACAGGCTTAGTGACCATAGTCTGGACACAGAAACTGGACACAGACAGACCTGGCTGTCAGAAAGGCAGAGAGGACAAGCTGTGCTCCCACTGACAGAAGCAAAGACAGAGATGCACTTTCTGCTGTAGTGTGTGAAATACTCTGGGATTAGACATTCTTCTCCAAAATAAATCTAATCCCCATTCTTGCCACAATCAAAACAGCTTCCAATCCTACTGGGGGAGGAAATTTAAAAGAGCTGCAGCCCAGTGTGTGATCTCCTGTCACAGCCTGAGGAACAGACAGTGAGCCTGTCTCTCAATAATAATAATAATACAGTGTGTGATCTCCTGTCACAGCCTGAGGAACAGACAGTAAGTCTGTTTCACACTAATGTTTTATGTTTGTACTCTAAATGTCAAGTTAATTGTATATGCTCTGGCAACACTGCAATTCATCATTCATGCCAATAAAGCTCTTTGAATTTGAACTTGAGTGCCGGTAGAACAGGAAACATCAGATACCATTTAGAGCAAAAGCAAGTACAATCAAGTAACAGAAAAGGCTTTACAATCCTGCAGTGAGTGAGGACTGACCTGAGATGTCAGTCCTGCTGCAAACATGCTTTTGTGAAAGCCAGGCTGTTAATCCTGTATTTCTGTCCAGGGCAAACCCTGGAGAGCTTGTGACAGAAGGCAAATTTATAAAATTACACAAGGCTTGTTTACTAAGGAAGACCAAAACCAACCCGTGCCACAGTGCGTTGTGGCACGCCACACTGTAACATATGTTTCATGAAGTAACCACAGTGAAACAAATTCCCAAATGTAAAAGCATACAACTTAAACCTGGGCTATTCTGTATCGTTATGGCTAACGCAGTCCATGGAGCTGTCTGAGCCAAGGTGATAACAAGCTTCAACAAATCTTAAATGCAAATGAACTACAAGGGAAAAAACAGCATGGAGCTCGGCTGCAGCCGGGCTTTTTGAAGGAAAGCAGCGACCGCCTTGGTGCTGTCAGCCTCTTCATCCCTGAACCTCAGGATTGGATAGACATCACTGCCGTGTGCTTTGGAGCAATGGGCTCAGGGTCTACCTGTTTTTTTGTTTTGTTTTTGTGGGCAATTAAGTTGACGAGCCCGGAGCAGGACAGCCGGCCGTGTCAGGCGATGGGCCCCTGGTCGCAGCCACTGCCCGTCTCTCGTCACGGGGCGAGCAGGTGGGAGTTTTAATGAGCGGCCTGGCTGCACGGTGGGAGCTTTAGATGAATAAGACTCCATTAACCAGAAACATCCCTCAGCTCTCCACTCTCTCTGCACTGAAGAAAATAAGGATTACGGACCGCTAACAGCCTAAAAGCTACTTTTATATACATTTTAATCCCTCTTCCATATGTGTCACTTATCAACACCTAGACCGAATCCTTTTAATGCTAAAAAAGAACTGTTAATTGCATGTTGTATTTTCTTAGTTTATTGTTGCACTTTAACGGTTTTTGCTTTATCTGTTCCCCATTTACTTTAAAGCACTCAGAGATGGTGTCTTACATGGAAGGTACTGGATAAATGTATTTGGACTGAACAATTAGATTAAGCTTTTCAAACTTGAATTGCACCTCATTTTTACCAACTTCTGTTTCTTTTGCTTTTAAGGACAGCCAAGATATCCTTAATGGAGGGCCATGCACACACAGCTAGATAAGAAACAGCTCTAGGAGTGCTAGATCACCCCCAGTTTCACTTTTACTTTACAAAATTGTACCTGTCCAAAATGTAATCCTTACATCAATCAGTTTACAGCTTCATTTACAGAAATAAAATGCATAAAAAGCTCAGAGAGTTACTGTATGCATTACCACAGAACAGTGGCCCACAGCCTATTACATCTCAAAGACAGAAGAGCACACTGTGAGTCTGTGCTCTGTGTGTAAACATGAATTACTATAAAAATGCCAACAAAAGTCAAGGGAACTCTCCCAATGAAGTAACTGACAGACTCTAAAGGGAGATGACCACAATGGAAATAACATTAATGGAAACCCCCCAAAAAATGTCAAATCTGCTTCCACCCCCAGGGAAGCTTACATTCAATGAAGAACAGAACAGTCAATAATTATAATGAGAGTTCCCAAGAAATGAGTGCAGAAAGAGTAACTGATTGCAGAAGAATGTGATTTCCAGTTAATGATAAGACAACTTTAAACATCATGTGCACTGTGATGTGTTAACTATCTAAAGTTCTGACAAAAAGAAAACCTTATCTCCACAGTAAAGCAGATCAAACTACATACTTTATGTGTTTAAAGTTTAAGTTAACCACCTAGCCTTTTTTTAACCCTTTATGGCTTGGGTTTGTGTTTTTGTGTTGAAAATGTAAGAGGTGCTTATGTACTGCAAGACACTATTCCAGTCTTTCTCTGTGAGTCTCTTCTCTGGGAGTGCTCACTGAAATTCCACCCTTCCTGCTCTTTGAAGCCCTGATTCAGAGTTCAGACGGTTTCGACCGGCTCAAACTCTGACAAGGCATTAAGGGTGAAACAGTAGTTACCAATCATTGAATCATCACTAGATGCCTATTGAGTGAAAATTCATTGTGGTCCAGGTTCAGGAATGATTTATTACCTGCAACAATTTTAGACGTAGTAGTTGTTAGTATTACGTACATCTCCGATTCCTCTGAAGAGGATTAACTGTTCAACTGCTGGGGAAAATGGAAAACTTGTTGACTGTAATAAACCGCAGGACTGACGTGAGTTGAAGAGGCTGTGGTAGGAGTGTTCAGGTTCACCTGCACAGTCTGAGGGGCTGCTGAGGGAAGTCCTTGGAGACTGCCATGCCAAGTGAAAAGCAGCTCACCCGGTTTCGAAATGAGCAGAGATTTATTGGATTTGTGTTGAGATACAGACTATACTAGTTACAAGTTCACATGGATGCCAAAATGCAAAATATGTGACTGATGTCAGGATGTTTTATTTTCATTTCAAACGCTTAAGTTGTATACTGCTTCTTTTAGACTACATTACTCCCACAGACCATTTTCCAACAAGTTTAAACATGGTGTTACTGCACTATTTTGCCAGCAAGGCGAAAACTCTAGTTCGACCACAGTGTCTCTTTACCACCCCCTAGTGCAAGTTCACTCACTCCAGGCATGACGCTCCAGAAGAACAGCAGGGGTTTTAAATAAAAAAGTCACCAGATGAAGTTTAAGCTTCCTGTTGTGGAGGAAACAGAATGAAAACTCAAAACCTCTGACTAGCGGTGACTAACACTGTAACTGGCCCCGCAGTCACCGTGAAGCCTGTCTGTTGCAACCACTGCTCTGGCTATAATGAGACGCGTGAATCACCACACTCAATCGGAGCTGCAAAGGAAAGGGGGTGACCTACCTGTCAGTCGGCAGGTGTTGGTCACCTTTAAAGGTTGACAGGCCTTGTTAAAACTCTATGCAATCACCCGCACAGCCCCACTTGGAGAGGAGGTAAGACTGACAGTTCTAAATCTGAAATTAAGAGGCAGCCGTGAAATAAAGACACAGACCTGTCTTTCGCGCTGCTGTCATACTGTATGGTTACAGCCACAGGGACGTATCGTATGGGTAACGCAGTACCTGCGTGAATTAGTGAAGTCTTCGTGGAACAGCACTGCGCTGGAGAAAAGGGCGCATCCTGCAAGATCTCCGAGACTAGTCGTAAGGTAAGGTCGTTACTTTTTAATTAATTTTATCACTATCTGAAATTTCAAATAAACTGTAAATCACTGTAAAGCACATTGATAAAAAAAATCCAGTGAACAGTTTATTACAAACAGCTCAGCATGCATAAATATTAAACTTGAGAATAAAAGACAAACGTGCCTTTTGTGAAGTTGATAGTATTTTGAAACAAGGCATTTTGTTTCTCTGAAAGCTTGAGTTCATTTGACAGGGAAACACAAAGGCATCTGTAGCACTGAAAAGTACACCAGGTTAAAAGCTCGGGCTCATCAGGCATATCAACGAGGAGCTGCCAGGACTGGAGTGCCTGCTATTCTGATTTGGTGACCGATTTGGAACCTCAGCTAAAGTATAATGTGAGTTTCAGCAAAATGTGACCACAAAAATGTTTTTGCTTCTCTACTACTTTTTGAGTCTGCAGAAAAATACACCTGCCAGACAAGCCGCTTCACTCATTCAAGAATCTGTGGTTTTAACTTTTTAAGACTCAACAAATGTACAGACCTCACAACCTTTCAGTTAGAATACAAAGGGAAAAAAAATCCTGTTCCACAGTCCTGGGACAATCCTGGATCATATGAAAATTAATAGGACCTTCCTTTTGACAGGAATCAAATCAGGCACAAAACCAACAAGCAAAGAGTCTGTAAGACAAGAAGACTGGTGCAGTAGCAGAGGAACAGGTGCTGACTAAGATCTACATACTGTACTACAGGTAACATTATGCTGAAGTGTAAATATGTGTAAATATATACAGTATATAGGGCAAAACTGTTAATTTCTATTCTTAATCATGATAATAGAATATACCATACCTTCCCATCAATTGCATGTTTTCTCATGTGAGAGAAAAACACTCAACTTTGTTTAAAGAGGACAGGCACTGGGATCAGTAATTACACTAAACTGATAGGAAATTGTGCTTATTGATTATAGTGAGTGGACCAGTTAATGAACAGGTCTGTTTTCTTGGCAATCACATGTTTTTCAGACGGACAGATGACAGGAGCGCAGAGCCGCGTGGCAGTGGGACTGCTGGTCCTGCTCCTCTCCTTGCCCAGCTGGGAGATCCTGGTAGAGGACTCAGCCAGTGAGACAAGGTACTTGCAGACACACACTCGTGCTGCTGGCAGATATCAGACTGGCACCACTGCTAATTGTCACACTCAGAGCTTGAAAATACCCATGCAGGAGCAAATATCTGTCTCATTGTCATGTTTACCACACTGTTGTCACAGCTCAGGAAAGCACGTCAGCCTCCAGGTTTTGCAGGCTGTTGTGGAAGTCAGACCTTAGGGATAATATTTCTAGTTTGTTAAAGTTTGTCTGTGCTTACAAAGAAAAATGCTGTGTTAAATCCATATTCATCACTTTTTGCTTCATCAGTACAAGCCGTAGCATGCAACTTGAAAAACCCGAAATGGATCGAGCTGCTTGCTGTGGAGTTTTAAACGCCTCTCGTGTTTAAAAGCAGCTCATGCTTAAATGACATTAAACATACCCTGAACATAAATGACTTTAAAAAGGTAATCTGCTTAAGCAATATTTGTTGGTGGACTGCACCACCAATATAGCTGTCACTGGAAATAGTTCCAAGTCACAGAGGCGCTATCCATCCATCATCAGGGAGCTGTTTATTCCTAGGGAGAGTCACAGAGCTCCGAAGTGCTTCGGGAAATATACGGCAGAAAACAACCTGGATGGGATTTCAGACCATCACAGGTCTCTAGAGTCATTAATCTGAACTTTATTCATTTCGTTCACTTAAGAATCATTCACGGTTGTGCCATTAGTATACACACATGCAGGACATACGTACAGTACGGTGTCCCAGAATGGCAAAACATAAACAAAAATGAGTTCACAAAAAAAACAAAAAAGAGTGTGCCAACAAAAAACAGCGACACACAAAAAAAAGAGTGCACCAACAGATGGAAATAGTTTCCCACAATGGACACGGCATCTGTTGTCAGGTGAGAGGGCAGCGCTGAGTGGAGCGCACGGGTTGAGTTCTTGACGAGATGTTTGTGGGAAGTTTCTAAAATCTTTAAAAAATACCATGACAGTAGGATGTTCTGTCCATTTTGTGGAGGGCAGCTTGGTGAAAACCCACATTACTGGAAATACATAGGAAATACATAGGATTTCTTCTTCGTTAAAACCTTGAAGGGGCTACAGGGATCAATAAAGCGATCTCAGTTTGTTGTGCAGGTGTGGTATAATCCGCAGCGTTAACTACTGACACTAAATAGCATGAAAGAAGTATTTTATAACCTTTCTTTTTTCTGCTAGATCAAGGGAATACTTCCACACTTTCCCAGTTCATACATTTCAGAGACCAAAAGCAACAGGAAAGATGTCATTGGTCTGCATCCAACAGGAAACGTGTTAAATCAAATATGCAGGCAAGTCAAACCTAGTAGAAAAAATATTTTATCAGACTTGATGAAGCACTCAGCGCTGTCTTCTCAAAAACAGATGTCATGACTGTTGTGAGAACCTATTTCCATTTTGAACACAATTTTATTTGTACACTCTCTTTTGTTTGTGTTGCCGTTTTGTGCTTGTGCACTCTCTTCAGTTTGTGTTGTGTCATTTTTTGCTTACCCACTACACACCTGAAAAATCCATGAACATTAAGAATTCAACAGCCTTACTGTAGTACTGTAGGAACAAAACTAGAAAAATATATTTTCTTTTACTGAGGGAAAGACTGAAATTGGTGACTTGAGGGAAACAAACTCTTGATCATTTAAGAAATGAGCTGGGTCAGATGAAATCTGCCTTCACTTCTTGCAGACTAGTTTATAAAACATATTACTATAGCATTCCCTCCTCATAACATTGCTAATTTGATTAACTGTTTCAATTAGCATATTTTGACTCTGAGAACACCCAAGCAGGCTAGTACAGTAAGGGTCATAGTGCTTTTGAACGTTCGATCGTTCACAAGATGTGCAGAACTCAGTGATTGACCTTCAGCCATTTCAATATACTGTATACTACAAAAAAGGTGCTGAAATTTCTTCAAACACAAGCACACTGTTCATGCCAAAGCCAAGTTCACCATCTATTGTTGGTTACTGGTAATTACACTCCATTACTCTCTGAACCCGTAGATCATAAGTCATTGACTGTTTTGTAGGTTTGCCTCTACTAAACTGCTAAACTATTGGTCTTTCACACATTTCGGTCAGAAGAAAGACCGATGTAATCTTATGTTTTATGATACGATTGTCAAGACTAGTACTCATACAGTGTCTGAATGCAATGCGAACACTGAACATCTAACCCCATAACCCCAGTTCTGACAGGCATGTCTGTCTTCAGATGGCATACCTACAAGACCAAAAGGGACCAGGAAGTGGTCTCCAACTTCAAAAGGCACTCAGAGGGAACCTTCTCCAGCGACTTCACCAGGTACCTGGACAGGATCAAAGCCAAGGACTTTGTGCACTGGCTCCAAACTGGCACAAAACGACAAAGGTGAAGGTCGAGCTTTTGATATGCACAAACAGGCACGCATTTGCAAAATCCGGCACCAGAGCAAATTGCAACTAGCACAGAAGGACTCAGAATAACAATGCCATTAAAGAATCTTCAGCACTATACAGTAGGCTAGCACACACAAATATTGGTTCTCCACGCCTTAGATAAGGTTTACTGACACATCAATTGCTAACATACATCTGTTTCTTAAGGGTGCCTTAAGGTTTGAGCAGTGATTGGTCAAAGCAAGCACTGCGCGGGTGGGCAAGATAAATGAGACCAGTTCTGCTCTGTTCTGACCACTTCCCTCCTGGGCTGCCCCAGCAAAGGACAAGCCACTCCCAGCTGCCCTTACCCCTGGTCCTGTCAGAGGTGCAGCGTTTCACCCGTCTTGTCCTGTGCCCTCCCCAGTCGCCCCAGCAGAGAGGGAGGGGCCTCAGCACATCACAGGAAGAAACATTGATAAGCCTTAATAAATAAATTGCTGGTCTAGACAATGTCAGCCCAGTTGACAATACTATTTCGATCACAACAAGGTCAGAATTTGTGACCTTCACACTTCAGAATAGTTCATTGTGGCACTGAATGGTGAAAGCAGAGTGAAGTCATAAGAACAATACAACGCACAATAATGGAGACTAAGCCAAACACCAAAAGTGATGATGGAGAGAGAGCTTAACTACAACTGTGAGATGTCCAGTAAATTGTTTCTTGATTTTCTTTCAGGAAAAACGGTTATACTGCTTTAGCAGTTTTGTACGCTGACTGGCTGTTTCCTCACTCGTTCTGCAGGTACACAGTCCAGGCCCTGGACACATGGCAGTAACACAGGAACCTGCACAGCAGCGAGCACGTGGTAACACTGCCAGCCGTCCCCGTGCCAAAGATAGACTGAAGCCTGTATTATAACAAAGCTGCCCTTGTACTGGATTTACACTAATAACTGCTTAAAAATTAAAATCAAGCAATTAAATACACATATACACACACCAAGACTGTGTCTACTTTGAATTGAAAGAGAAGTGCTTGGAGCAGCACTACTGTCATTTCACTCACAAACCCAGTGTGGTCCCAGAGTCAACACTGGGGACACGACAGTGCCCACA